TGCCATCCCCTGGCTCTTCCCCTAAACCTCCAGGAATCTCCCAACCCTGGGCTGGACACTGGGTTACCATTCCCCAGGTGGGGGCGGGGGATCCTGAGAAATGACATGAGGGGGGGGGGTCTGCAGTTAGAACAGGGGATTGTAGAAAATTGCCAATTTAGTCTGGATCCAACCTTACATTTCTTGATGACAAAAAACAGCATCAGCAAGTGGTAACAGGTGTGTTTACATTTCCAGAGGCTTAGCTCTGAAAACAAAATGGCTGTCTCCACATCACACCTTGCTTGTCCCTTCCTTACACACATCCGCCTCAAAAGAGGAGCTCTTAATGTCACTCGTGATGAAAGTCACCGAAGTAGGAAGAAACCGGAGATCAGAGGGTTAAATAACCAGAGAGGAACAAAACAGCTGCTGATTTCCTGCTTTATCCTGGCTGAAACTTAATCTTGAGATTGTTAGGTGAAGATAAGTACAGGACAACATAATAAACTATCTCCTCCATCTTGTCCTTCCAATGTTTGGCTCGGCCTGCTTAGTGAGATTTGCAGCCAGGAGCCTTCATACCCCCAGTGGGAGCCCGGAGCTCGGTAACTAATCACCTGCCTGCTACTGAAAATGTTCCTGCAGAAATCAAGACTCATTATCTCCTCCCCCAATTTTTTTTAAAAAAGCAACAACCCCATAGAATTGCAGTGGCACAAGGTGACTGTAATGACACTCATTATTGATTTGCCATCCATTCCTGCCCTGCCACATGAGGTTAATTAAACGGTAAACATTATTCTTCTTCTGCCACGGAAAAAGACTTAGGCAGTACAACCAAGTGTTTGTTTTGCTAAATAACAACCCTCTTGCTGGTTCAGCATAGCAGTAGGCCCAGAGAAGCTAATTTAATACTATAAACTCAGTTTCAAACATAACACGATTTGCTAATGAAGAATCCTACAGAAGTCATTTGCCTGGCTGCACAGAAAGGACACGGGATATCTGCACAGTGCTGCCATTTGTCCTCGGTTGGTGCGGAGTAAGCTGGAGCTGGCCTGCTAAGCACCCAAATTTCATTCTTGGAGGGAAGGGGGGGGGGTCATACGGTTTTAGAGAAATAACAAAGCCGTCCTAAATATGAGGCTCAACAAGTGGTTTAATGCTACAGAACTGTCGAAGCTGCCTCTAAGAGTTAACAGTGGGGTTGCCAGCCCCAGGTTGGGAAATCTGGGTGGCTGCAGCAGCCGTTTTCTCCAGGTGAACTGATCTCTGTTGCCTGGAGAGCAGCTGTAATCCCAGGAGATCTCCAGCCACCCCCTGGAGGCTGGCAACCCTAGTTAGCAGCTCCATGTTCTCCCAGGATGACAACTGATATCCAGACAGCAGAGACCAGTTCTCAGGGTATCATACTCTCACCAACAGTTAGGGTTGCCAAGTGGCACTTATCCTTCCGGTGAGGGACTCCAGCTCGGCTCCCGGTGCGCGTGCCGCATGCACGTCACAGGGAAGTGACGTCATGACGCCGGGCACACTGGGGGCGGGGCCACGACCATACAAGGGAAAACCATAGAGTTTTCCCTTAAGTGGCACTTACCCTGCCGGCGGGGGACTCCCGATCGTATCCTGGTGCGTGCACATCACAGGGAAGTGACGTCATGATGCCGGGCATGCTGGGGGCGGGGCCACGACCATACAAGGGAAAACGTGTGCCCGGTGTCATAATGTCACTTCCCTGTGATGTGCACGCTGGGGCGGGGTCCCCCCCCGGGGCCCGATTCCCTGGCGTCAGGGAACGGGCCTCTGGGGCGGGAGGATTTCCGCCCCCCGGGGGGATTTGGCAGCCCTACCAACAGTGCTTCTTTATTTAAATAGTGAGGTCATTGTATCTAATAGTAAGCCCCCCTGCCATTCACAACTGCAACAAAACCAGGCCACTCACAAACAAGTGAGGGCTCCCTAAATATTCAGAACCCCCAAACCCCGGTATGAAGAAGAAAAAAAAGACCTTTGCAAATTAACTAAATGGAAAAGGGGATGGGGGAACTACACAACACAACTGGACTAGTGAGGCCGGAAGATACTCCAGGAGTTCAGAATGTTGAAAGTAACTTAGAGGGAAAGGGGGGGGGGAGAGGAGATTGGATTGCCAACTACAGACTGGGAAATTCCTGGAGATTTGTGGGTGGTGCCAGAGACACTGGGGTGGGAAGAGAGCTCAGGGTAGGGTTGCCAAGTGGATCTTCGCCGGGAGTGGGGGGCTCCCGGCCGGCGTCTGGTGCGCGCGCATGTCACCCGGAAGTGACGGGAGGATGCCAGGCACGCTGGGAGCGGGTCCACGGCCATGCAAGGGAAAACCATAGAGTTTTCCCTTGTATGGCCGTGGCCCCGCCCCCA